TCATCACGAAACACTTTATCTGACAGTAGGGCGTGTATTAACGACTAGATTTCTAAATAGCCATATTAAATTAAAGTTAAGAATACTCGCCCCAGGAGTATTTTTGAAATTAGCAAACATTTGCTACGTATGTGCAATGGTGGGTATGTACGCGTAGTTATCCGACCACTGAGATATTTCAAAACATCGCCATAAGTGATTATCAGTTGTGTTAGGCCATGCTTTGACAAGCTCATACATTTTAAGCTAAGATGAGTGCCTGCAAATAAAATGTGAATATGTGCATGCCTGAAGTCTTAGTATAAGTATAGACGATTATAATTAGTATTCCATGGCATTTTCATCGAATATTGCCTTAAAATAGAATTTTAAAAATTATGATATTTATGTATAGAGATTTATGTCTCGATACGCGCACTGGGTTTCAACTATATACCTTGATGCATATTATATAAATGAATAAATCATACGATCAAGTAGTATACCCATAAAGCTTCTCAGTGGAAATTCCTGTTAGACGTATTATAGCCATAATGTGTCAAGCCTGTGTATAAGATGGTTCAGAGTTCATTAGCTGTTTGGGAAATCAACTACAGTTAAGCTATTCTCGATGTAATTTTTTTGAGGTCCCCCAGTGCACTTTGACACATATTCACCCTGCCATGTATGAAAGTGCAGACAAAAACATGTTGATGCACAGAAAAATGAAAGCAAAGGTGTTGATACACTCATACATACAAAAGAAAGTGCTGCTTCTAGGTAGCCCTTGTTGGTGTAAAAAAGGATCTGCCAAGTAGAATAAGCAAAGACCAAGTTGCGGAACATAGCATCAAGTAGCAAAGAAAAAGGGGAAGATAAATGGTCTCTAAGAGAGAAGGCAAATAATAAATTGAAAACTAATTATCATTCGCGTTTTTGTGATTTAAAAAATGTCATTTCCGCAATGTTGCCTGCAGTGTCTGTAAATAAAGATAGATAGTCATACTAAATAAATAATTTCAACTAACCCGTTTCACCTCCATGAAAGTACTGCGTGGATTGTACCATTCCATCACAATGATGGTTTTCTCCACTGCAGTGCATAGGTACTTAGATCCATTGAAGGGGTTTCTGATCACACTGGCGATATGACAGCCCCGGGTATCAGGTACCTTGACGGTAGGCTGAAAGCGCTTCGGTAGAAGCCGGTTAGTCAGGCGTCCTGTAAACTGACTACCGGGTAGCATAGCCTGAGTCTCCTGACCAGCGAACTTCATCAAGCTAATCAGATTATGACTGTACAGATGTGGCCGCTGACCAGATAGAGACATCATGGTATCTTTTACAACAGAGATCCAGAGGCAACGACGAGGTATGAGCTAAACAAAAAGGAAAGACAGCTAGGATGGAGGAGGCCTCGAAAATCTTGATAATATAACATAAAATGAACCAAACAATAAAGATACGATTCAGGTAAAGTGAAGATGAGAGGAGCAAATCTGTCGTAGTCACTGGAACCGGCAGGTACATGCTGTTAAATAATAAACATAAGGACACTATGAAAGGGGAAATTCCAGGAAATAATTAATAGTAAAGAAAATTATTAAGTCTATGTAGAAGTGTAGAAAAAGAATCCAGCCTTTCACTTTAATTGAAAGGGGGA